CATCTTACCCATTCCCCTAGCCTACACGTCTCATGTTTATGGATGAGGAAACTGAGGCAGAATTTTGCATCCCAAAACACAATTGGTGGCAGACTTAGAACTGTAATTAATAGTAACCGCAATAAGATTTCTATGATATCCATTTTCATAAAATAGCCCCTGCCCAAGTAAGCCTTATGCACATTTTAAAAAAATACAGATTGAGATGACAAAAAGTCATTTCAGTATGCACTGTCAATGTTTGATAATATATTAGGTTAATGTATTTTTGTTTTTATACAGAAATACTGAAAAAAGAAATTATTTGGACATTCACCTGATTTTGTAACTGCCAGTATGTGAAAGCTGGAATTTCTTTTTAAAGCACAGCAGTGTCATTCCACCAGATGTCACTGTTTGCATGTAGCAATGACATTCCAATGATTAAAAATAAAGCCCCCTCCTTAGTCATATTTTATAAGAATATTATAGAGTTAAATAGTTTTTCTTCTTTAGATTTACTATTTTGTTAAGACTTTATTCCCTGCCTTTTAAAAAAGTATTCAAAGTATTCCTTACAGCTGACACAGATTTCAAAGAATATACCAAAGAAAATTTGTTGCAGTTTAGCATCTTCAAGAAGGTAAAATCCCAAAGTCTCTTCTAAATCTAGGAGCTAGCTTTTCAAACAACATTTTTTGTAAGTTGCTTTTTTCTAAATTTTAGATTGTGACCCAGTAAATGGTTGTGAAATCAATTTAGTGGTTTGCTACCGGCCCTTTAAAAAATTCCTGAAATAGAATACTGGATGTAAGTAGTTCTTGGTGAAACTTTTGAACATGAGTTCTCTTAAAATATCCCTGTATACATCTTCTTTGAGTTACATAAAAATGATTGTGAGCTCCATCCTGTGAAACCGCCCCTAGATTTTGTTCCCCAAGGAGCAAAAATAAATTCGCTAAGGAAGGGAGAATGAAGGTGTGATGGGAGAACTCAGAGGCACACCAAGGAGGGGAGAGGGTTGTGGGACAGAGACCCTCTCTCTGTGCTTCACAGAGTGGAGCTCATAGTCACTTTTATGTAACTCACAGAATATATGTGCAGATATTTAAAAATATTTTTTTTTCCTTTATTGACTTTAAAGAGAAGGAAGGGAAAAGGAGAGAGAGAGAGAAACATTAATGAGAGAGAACATTAATCAGCCATCTCCTGCCCACCCCCCACTGGGGACTTGGCCCACAACCCAGGCATGTGCCCCAACTGGGAAGCAAACCAGCAACCTCCTGGTGCATGGGTTGATGCTCAACTACTGAGCCACACCAACTGAACTGTGCAGAGATTTTTAACAAGAGCTCACAGCTTAGTACAAATGCTTTCTCTTTTGATAGCAACCTACAGTAAGAAATACATTGTATATCTCTGGCCCCATGGGAGACCAATGCTGACAGGGAAGGAGATTTAACTCAGTCTAGAGAGGTGGACCTGTTCCCTTCATTCAATATTCTTAATGATAATAATAATAATAATAATGATTGTATCAGCAACCACTTTTTTGAGCATGTACTATGTGCAAACTCGTACATATATTATTTCTGAGCATTAGACCCTAAAAGATCTGATCCTGTTACCACTTATAAATGAGGAAACGGACTTAGGAAAGAAGAGTGACCTACCCCACATAGCACTCCAAATGGCCAAACTGGGGCTAAAATCTTGGGTTTTAGCCTCATTCCAAATGCTAGCTCTTCCTACTATGTCCGTGATTTTTTCTCTTTTTTTAGTTGCTTCCTGGGGATAAGGACCACCTGAAGTGTTTAAGTGCATCAATTCTCAGGCTTTATCTCAAGCTCACTGAATTAGAATCTCTAGAGGAGGATTCTGAGAAGCTATGGATTTAATAAGCATCCCAGCATGTTCCTATGATCAGGCTGTTTCAGGGAACAGTGCGGTATATCAGCGGCTCTGGAACTTCAGCTCGCATCAGAACCACCTGCAGGGCTGGTTAAACACCAGTGGCTGGGCCCCACCTCCAGAGATTATAATTCATTAGGTGTGATGGGATTCAAGATTTTGCATTTCTAGCAAGTTCCTACGGGATGCTAATAATGTTGGGTAGGGAACACACTTTGAGAACCACTGCATCTGACCTATGGTTCTCAGTGGGACTTTTCTTGCTCAGCCAAAATTCAACAATACTTATTCATACACAATACATTGGCATCCATGGGAAACAAAATGAATAATTAATGTTGCCCTCCAAACCAGTCTATGATCTACTGTGAAAAAGATATTTGGAATAAAATGTATTTTAAATTCTATAACGAAAGAGCAGATCAAATGCGGCAGGGAAACTAGGGAAGCAAAGAGGAAGTTTGACTGGGCCAGAGGAGCATTGTAAAGGTCTCATGGAGCCCTGGCCAGTGTGGCTCAGTTGGTTGGAGCATTGTCCTGTGCACTGAAAAGTGGCGGTTTGATTCCTAGTCAGGGCACATACCTAGGTTGTGGGCTTGATCCCCAATGGGCGTGCAGAGTGCATGTAGGCTAGGCCAGGCATTAGGAGAGGGAAATAGGATTGGCAAAATAGAGGATGCCCAGACTGTGGAGGACCCTGAATGCCAGGCATGGGAGCTCAGGTTTTTTACTGTGGGTGTAGTCATTCAAGTATTTGGAAAGGGGGTGACTGATATAACTCTGGCAGGGGTACGTAGCATGGGTTGGTGGAGGGAGAGTTTGGAGGTCAGGCACCAGCAAATAGGCTGTCATAGGACTCAGATGAGAGAAAATGCAACGGGCAGGACAGACAACTGGCTGGAGAAGGGTCAGGACTAGTGATTACTGGGGGAGTGAGGGAGAGCCTGGAGATGAAGAGGTTTTCAGTCTGAACAACTGAAATGGTGGTATTTTCTTAAGCGGCGGGCTCTAGAAAGGATTGGTTCTTCCCTCTAGAAATGAAGAAGGAAGCAGGGAAAATCTGGAGAAGAATTTCAAAGTAAGTGATTCATCTTTGTCATATGAGAACAGTTGCTAACCTTGCATAGCCTCCACCGCGGTTCCGCGTTCATGTCTACCAGAGCTGTGTGCTCTCACTGACTTCTTTCACTTTCCTTCAACCAACCAGAATTTCTATTTCTTCAGTGCACATTTGGAATGTGAAAAGACAGTAAATTGCAAAAGACAAAAACTACCTTGTTTTTGGTTTAGAACCAGATAAAAATATATCAGTGCCTCCAGGTAGCTTCTTAAGTCACTCCTATCCTCCCTGATCTTAGAAAAGCTTTCCTGATCTTGATGTGCATACTTTCCTGGCTCATTCTTCCAGCCCCTAGATCTTACCTTTTCTTTGTTTTTGTTTTTTTCCTGGATATATTAGTCAAGACTCAGTTGCAGAAAAATGAAATATTTTTAGCCATTTTAAGCAAAAGGGGATTTAGTAATGGGAATTCAATGCTTATAAAATCAGCGGAAAGATTGGAAAAACAGGCTGTAGGCAGCAAGGGCTTCCAGAGTTGACACACAACATGCTAAACTGGATGCTGGGAGCTGCTGCTCCTGGCGTAGTCAGGGAGGTGGGAAATCTGGACGCCAACACTGGCAACGTGCCTCCTGAGCTGTGGGATCAGGTGATTTGTGTCACAGCTTTTGACTCTGGAGTCACACTATGCCTGTTGATGTGCTCAGTGGAAAAACAAACAAAAAAACACCCACAAAAAAAGGAACTGGAACAGTGCTACAGAGCTCAGTGTTGCCATGACTACTTGCCAACAGAAACATCAGGACCTTCTGCCTCCCCAGTTGTATATGAATGCATCTGCTTAGTGTATCTTAAATTAGATCCAGGGCATTGGCTGCAGGAGAGTTTTACCTGTCCACCCTCAGCAGTTTAGAAAAGCACATGAGAACCACGAAGGATCGGGTGTTGACTGGCAGTCTACTATATTTGCCATACTGGGAATTGAACTTTAACTTCTCTTTGAATTCAAATATTTAACTAGGTGAGATAGGAAGCTTATTTTCCATGACTCTGTTTTGGCAAAACCCTATCTTCTCCAGCCTAGTCTGGGTGGGCCTGTTTCTTAACAACTGGTATGATGGAATTTGAGACATTCAGTATGTTATTCAGTAACTAAAGTCAGTTGGGTTTGTGTACGCTTAGTCTTCACACATTTGGTGGCCCATAACATGATTGTTCATGGTATAATGGTATATCAAAAAGTTAGAGGCAACATTGGCTCGAAATACTTCCATGTGAAATTGAGATAGTTGTAGTCTATGCAGATTCACTTTACACTTATTTTATATTTCTTTTACAGAAAGAGCTACAACACAAAAATAAATGCATTTCAAGTGGCCTGAAAGTTAGTCATTAGTGACGCATTTTGCCTTCAAATTCTAATTTAGCTGATCTCTGTGGCTTAATTAAGACTTTTGTTGATATGTTTTGTCCCTCATATATATCCTAATGTATATGCAGTTTTGGTTTTATTGTTGAAAGTGTTATAGAAGTCCCCCCCTTTTCCCCATTGATCCCCTCCTTCCTGCTTGTATATGCAGTTTGTAGCATAGAAGAAAAGACCGGATGCTATAACAGTTTTCTGTTCATCCTGGCAAGATATGAATCAAGAAAACATTTTAATGTGAGAAGGGCGTTCTGCTAAGGCTGATGCTTTGCCTCAGTCTAAAAAAATGAAAGCATTTTCTGGGAGTTTGGAGTGGGGAGCAGGTTAGCGAGCAGAACGTACAGAACTTTTCATCTCTTTTGTAATCAGGTTTTCAGAGGGTGAATTTATTATTCCAATGTCATACAACAAAACCATCATAAAGATTATAATGCAACTGTATTTAGAATTAAACATAAATTATTTTTAAATTATTTCTCATTTTGGATTATCTGACTTCTGAACGATATTTAATACAGTTATCAAATGTCAGTGTGTTTATCTCAAGAGATATGAAATGAGGGCCAAAGTCTTTTGCTTTATTAGTGACTTAAAAAAGAAATTCTTGTTTTCATCACACTGTAGAGTACTGCAAGGAATCCCCGTTACAGGTGCTCGCCAAACACATGTTCCTGTCCTTCCAGCAACACCAGGGAAACCACCGGAATCGTCAGGAGAAACTGGACAGCGTGCTCACAAACCACACCTACAACTCTTCGGAGAGGAAGTAAGAATTTCCTTTAATATTAGTTTTCTCTACCTCACAGGTTCTCAAACTTTTAAATTTCAGGGCTCCTCTTGTACTCTTAAAAATTATTGAAGACCTCAATCGTTTATGTGGTTTATATCTATTGATATTTACTACATGGGAAATTGAAACTGAGGAAATGCTATTTTTTTGTTTATTAAAAATAACAGTAATAGTCATATATGTTAACATAATGTATTTTTATGAAAAATAATTATATTTCTAAACAAAAAATTTGATGAGAAAACTAAGATTGTGTTGCTTGTTTTACACTTCTCTTTAATGTCTGGCTTAATAGAAGATGGCTGGATTCTCATGTCTGCATTTTTTTTTTAATTGTTGAGAATATTACAGATGTCCTCCATTTGCCCCACATTTGCCCCACTTCACACAGCCCCCTCCTCCCCGTCCCTCCGCCCTCCCGGCTCCGACCTTCACCATATTGTTTTCTCTGTGTCTATGGGCAATGCATATATGCATATAAATTCTTTGGTTAATCTCCTCCAATCTCCCATAATTCCCTGTCCTCTGAGGTCTGTCAGTCTGTTCCATATATCTATATCTTTCTATTTTGTTCCTCAGTTTATTTTGTTCAATAGATTCCACATATAAGTGAGATAATATGGTATTTATCTTCCTCTGGCTGGTTTATTTCCCTTAGCATAATAATCTCCAGGTCCATCCATGCTGTCAAAAAGGGTAAGAGATCCTTCTTTTTAATGGCTAAGTGGTATTTCATTATGTAAATGTACCACAGCTTTTTTATCCACTCACCTACTGATGGGCACTTGGGCTGTTTCAAGATCTTAGCTATTTTAAATAATACTGCTGTGAACATAGTGGTGCATATATTCTTTCAGGTTTGTGTTTCAGTAGCCTTAGGATATATTCCTAGAAGTGTGACCACTGGGTCAAATGGCAGTTCCATTTTTTATTTTTTTTAGGAAACGCCATGTTGCACCAGTCTGCATTCCCACCAGCAGTGCACAGGGGTTCCTTTTTCTCCACACCCTCAACAGCACTTGTTGTTTATTGATTTATTGATGGTAAGCCATTATGGCAGGTGTGAGGTGATACCTCATTGTTTTAATTTACATCTCTGATGATTAGTGATGGTGAGCATTTTTTAAATGTCTCTTAGCTGTTTGTATGTCCTCTTTGGAGAAGTGTGTATTCAGGTCCTCCACCCAGTTTTTAATTGGATTGTTTGTGTTTCTTTCATCAAGTTGTTTAAGTACTTTATATATTTTGGAAATTAATGCCTTATTCAATGTATCATTGACAAATATGTTCTCCCATACAGTGGGTTCCCTTTTCATTTTGATGCTGGTTTCTTTTGCTGTGCAGAAGCTTTTTAGTTTTATTTAGTCCTATTTGTTTAATTTTTCCTTTGTTTCTCTTGCCCTAGGGAGTGTATTGGTGAATATTCTGCTATGTGAAATGTCTGAGATTTTGCTGTCTACACTTTCTTCTAGGATTTTTATGGTTTACAGCTTAGATTTAAGTCTTTTATCCATTTTGGGTTTATTCTTGTGTATGGTGTAAGTTGGTGGACTAGTTTCATTTTTTTTTCTTATTTGCATGTACCTGTCCAATTTTCCCAACACCATTTATTGAAGACACTGTCTTTACTCTACTGTATGCTCTTGCCTCCTTTGTCAAATATTAATTGAACATAATGGCATGCATCAATTTCTGGGGTCTCTGTTCTGTTCCATTGGTCTATATGTCTGTTCTTGTGCCAGTACCAGGCTGTTTTGACTACAATGACTTTGTAGTATCACTTAATATCTGGGATTGTGGTCCCTCCAACTTTGTCCCTCTTCCTCAAGATTGCTGTGGCTATTCGAGGTCTTTTCTGATTCCATATACATTTTTAAAATATTTGTTCTAGATAGATCTGTTAAATATGCCATTGGTGTTGTATTATTATTTTTTAAATCCTCACCTGAGGATATATATTTTTTTCCATTTATCTTCAGATAGAAAGGGGGGGGGGAAGCGAGAGAGAGAGAGAGAGAGAGAGAGAGAGAGAGAAACATCATTGTGAAAGAGACACATTGAGTGGTTGCCTTCTTCAAAATCCCCGACCAGGGCTGGGGGCCAAACTGCAATTGAGGTACGTGTCCTTGACTATAATCAAACCCGTGACTCTTTCATCTGTGGGCCAATGCTCTAACCACTGAGCAAAACCGGCCAGGGCACCATTGATATTTGAATAGGGATTGCATTGAATTTATAGATTACTTTGGACAGTATGAACATTTTAATTATGTTAACTCTTCCAATCCATGAACACGCTATATTCTTCCACTTGTTTGTATCTTCCTCTATCTCTTTTTTCAATGTCCTGTAGTTTTCTGAGTATAGGTCTTTAACCTCCTTAGTAAAGTTTATTTCTAATTATCTTAATTTTTTTGTTGCTATGGTAAATTAGATTTTTTTTTTTAGTTTCTCTTTCTGAAGGTTCATTATTGGTGTATAAAAATGCCATCAATTTCTGGATATTAATTTTATATTTTGTTGCATTGCCAAATTTATTTATTTATTTATTTATTTATTTATTTATTTATTTATTTTTTTATCCTCACCCGAGGACATTTTTCCATTTTTTATTCAGATAGAGCGGGAGGGAGAGAAAGGAACAGAGAGAGAGAGAGAAACATCGACGTGAAGGGACACATCGAGTGGCTGCCACCCGCACAACCGACCAGGGCCGGGGACAAACTGCAACCGAGGTACATGCCCTTAGCGGGAACCGAACCCGGGTCTCTCAGGACCACAGGTCGACGCTCTAATCGCTGAGCCAAACCGGCCAGGGCGCCAAATTTATTTATTAAATCTGGTATTTTTTTGGTGAAGTCTTTAGTGTTTTCTATGTATATATCATGTCATCTGTGGATAATGACAGTTTTACTTCCTCCTCTCTAATTTGGATGTATTTTATATTTTCTTCTTGTCTGATCACTGTGGCTTAGTACTTCCAGGACTATGTTTAATAAGAGTGGTGAAAGTTGACATCTCTGTCTTGTTCATGTTCTTAGGGGAAATGCTTTTAGTTTTTGCCCATTGAGTATGATGTTGGCTGTAGGTTTGTCATATATGGCCTTTATTATGTTGAGGTATGATCCCTCTATTCCTACTTTTCTGAGAATTTTTATCAATAATGAATGTTGGAGTTTGTCAAATGTTTTTTCTGCATCTATTAATATGATCATGTGATTTTTATCTTTCAGTTCGTTTATCTGATGTATGACGTTTATTGATTTGTGAATATTGTACCAGACTTTCATCCCTGGAATAAATCCCTCTTGGTCATGGTGTATGATTTTTTAATGTATTGCTAAATATGATTTGCTGATTTTGTTGAGGATTTTAGCATCTATATTTATCATAAGATGTTGGCCTACAATTTTCTTTCTTTGTAGTATTTTTGTCTAGTTTTGGAATTAGGATAATGCTGGCCTCATTAAAAGAGCTTGGAAGTCTTCCATCCTCTTTAATTTTTTGGAATAATTTGAGGAAAATAGATGTTAGTTATTTTTTGAATGTTTGGTAAAATTTGGATGTGAAGCCATCCAGTAAAGGAGTTTTGTTTTCTGGGAGTTTTTATTTTATTTTTATTACTGCTTCAATTTCATTAGTTGTTATCAGTCTATTCAGATTTTTTTATTCTTCATGATTATGTTTTGGAAGAGTGTATGTTTCTAGGAATATGTCCATTTCACCCAGGTTGTCCACTTTGTTGGCATAAAGTTATTCATAGTATTTTCTTACAGTCCTTTGTATTTCTGTGATGTTAGTTGTTACTTTGCCTCTTTCACTTTTTATTTTATTCATTTGAGTCCTCTCTCTTTGTTTTTTGATGAGTCTGGCTAAGAGTTAATCAATCTGTATCTTTTCAAAGAGACAGCTTTTGGTTTCCTTGATATTTAGTATTGATTTTTAAGACTCTGTGTCATTCATTTCTGCTCTGATTTTTATTATTTCCATCCTTCTACTTTGGGCTTTTTTTGTTCATTTTCTAGTTCTTTTAGGTATAGGGTTAGATTGTTTATTTTAGAAGGGTATTTTTGCTTCTTGAGATAGGATTGTAATGCTATGAACTTCCCTCTCAGTACTGCTTTCACTTGGTCCCATGGATTTGGGGTTGTTATATGTTCATTTTCATTTGTTTCCAGATCTCATTTGTAACCCATCCATTGTTTACTAACATGCTATTTAACCTCTATATGTTTGCTTGTTTATAAGTTTTTTTATTGTAGTTGATTTCTAGTTTCATGCCATTGTGATTTGAGAAGATGCTTGATATAACTTCACACTTCTTGAATTTGTTAAGACTTATTTTGTGTCTTAACATGTGAGAATCTATATCTGAGAATATTCCATGTGCACTTGAGAAGAAAGTATATTCTACTGCTTTGGGATGGAACATTTTTTAATATTAGTTAAATCCATCTGATCATGTATATTGTTTAAGGTTGCTGTTTCCTTGTTGGTTTTTTGTCTGGAAGATCTATCCAGTGATGTCAGAGGAGTGTTAAAGTCCCCTATTATGACTGTTTTTGTTTATTTGTTTGTTTGTTTGTTTTGTCTCTCTCTCCCTTAAATCAACCAAGAGTTTTTGTTTAATATATTTAGATGCTCCTATATTGGGTGCATATAAGTTTACCAGGGTTATATCCTCTTGTTGAATCAATTCTTTTAGTATTATGTAGTGTCCTTCATCTCTTGTTATGGCCTTTGTTTTTAAGTCTACTTTGTTGGATATAAGTATTGTTACCCCAGCTTTTTTCTCATTTCCTTTTGCATGAAATATTTTTTTCCATTCCTTCACTTTCAGTCTGTATAAATCTTTTGTTTTGAGGCGAGTCTCTTGTAGATGGCATATATGTGGGTCATTTTTTAATCCATTCAGCTACATTGTGTCTTTTGATTGGAGCATTTAATTAATTTACATTTAAGATTGTTGTTGTTAT